GAGAGAGAGCGAGAAAGAGAGAGAGAGAGAGCGAGAAAGAGAGAGCGAGAAGAAAGAGAGAGAGAGAGAGAGAGAGAGAGAGAGAGAGAGAGAGAGAGAGAGAGAGAAAGAGAGAGAAAAAGAGGACGTCCGCGGTTACGATGGGTGGCGAATTTACGAGTCGCTCGCGGGAGAACGAGGTTTGAGGCGATCGCTATCCGTTCTTAGCGACTGGCACACTTAAACAGGAGACAGGGAAAACTGTTTATCCTTGGAAGCGCAGACGACAGTTGATGCACTCCTAATTGCTCTTGATCTTAACTCTTTGAAGGAAACATTAAATGTGTTGAGGCTCAAGGAAACGTAATTTGATTAAAGGCGAAAACACCCTATTGGTAATACCTGATGACGCGAATGTATACACTATCGATAACCAATTAGGACGTTGATGTATTCAGATATTTGATAATCAATGATGACGTAGAATTATTCACCTCATTGACAATCAATGATGACGTAGAAGTATTCCGCGTATTGATAATAGGCGATAATATATGACATAACGATGACGTAGATGTAAATACCTAAGTGTTACTATAATAATCCTAGTAAACAAATCGCGTAGTACGCATTGTGGCGCACGCGGCGTACCTGACGTATATGTAAACATAATTAATTCTAATTAGTAAACAGATCGCGTAATACGCATTTTACAGGTAAACGTAGCTTACCGGTAGCTCGACCGTTGTCGTCGCTGTCGGTGTCAATTATCGACAGCTTCGCGACGAACGATCCTTCCGGTGCGCTCTCCGATATGAAAGCGACGCCGTCGACGGCCGTTAACAAGTTCATGCGAATCAACGGCGTGTTGTCGTTCTCGTCCATCACGTTGATCGTCGCTATGGCAACGCTGCTCAGCGGATCGACGCCCTTGTCGGTCGCCTCGACGTACACGTGGTGACTGGTCTTGTGCTCGTAGTCGATGATACCCTTCACGAACAGTTCGCCCGTTTCCGGATTGATACCGAACGTCTCCCGAATCTGCTTCGTGTTGCGCGTCGACAGCGAGTATTCGACGACGCCGTTGCTGCCGTGGTCCGAATCGGTGGCGCGCACGCGCAGTACGGTCGTCGACGGAGCGACGTTCTCCATGATCTGTCGCTCGTAGTGCTGCTTCTCGAAGACGGGCGCGTTGTCGTTCGTGTCGGTGACGTCGATGTTGACGATGACGGAGCCGGTGCGACGCGGCACGCCCTGGTCGGCGGCGACGATTTGCACCTGCGGAAACAACGCGTAGACGTTGACGATTTTTACAATTATTACATTTACATTATTTTATTACATACGATTACTATTAACGTAGCGGCGCATGCGCGCTGCGTGGCTCACGTGGTACGTGCACTCGTCCGCTAGAATGGCGCGTGGCCTCCTGGCGGGGGATTGCATCATCGCGTGGCTGAATGGCTGTAATTGTCTTCTTAAATTATTTATTTTATTATTTTATTAATGCCCGTTATTCTTATTTATTTTATTCCCGGTTATTTATTATTTCTATTCACGCGACGCTACGTTTCCATGGCGAGATGGGCGGTTCGCCGGGCAGTGCATGTCCTTGACGAACGAATTCAGTTTCAAAAGGGGCAGTGTGTCAAATTGAAAGCGCAGTCTGTGCTCAATGAAGCCTTTGCAGCATCCAGAAGATGCATGCACTCACTAACGGGTTGCTGCGATGTGTAAACTTATACTCAGCGACAGCTGCGATAAATACGCTTTTCATATGTCGCGTGTGCTATGCGGCACAAGGTTGGCGTGTTATAGCGCGTAACATGTCTTCAACTACTCTGCTTATTAACTTCGCTACTGTTCAGTCATAGTGCTACTACGTGCCAGTGCTACTGCATGCCACTATGTGCATTTCACTAGAATGATTAGGCCATTTTAACGGTTTTTTACATATTCAAATAAATTTGGAGTTTTTATTTTTAATTAGCGGAATAAATGGCGCACGAGCAGAACTTATACGCGTATTACCTATCAGGAACCATTTAATATTCATATAGATCATAATCTATTCAAATAAATTTGGAGTTTTTATTTTTAATTAGCGGAATAAATGGCGCACGAGCAGAACTTATACGCGTATTACCTATCAGGAACCATTTAATATTCATATA